ACTTTTATATTGTTTTATTTATTATTCTTTCACAAAGTTCCGCGTAAATGGCCAACTTTATATAATACGGTATCGAAGCAATATAAAAACCAGAAGAATTTTGTCGCCCTATTCGACAACTTGTCGACAACAGAAAACGGCCCGAGGCCACTAACCGTTTAGACCGACTAACGGAAGACTATACTAAATCGTACAAACCGCACACAATGGTTATCGTATGAGGCGTGGCGACAGATTGTTGCGGCTGTGTGGGCAGGAGCAGGCTAGGTGGTGAGGCGTGAGGTAGCAACAACGTCAGGTTGTCCCTTGGGCTTTACAAGGGTGTGTCGACTAAATTTTCTTCGTCGACCCAGAAGATCGAGGCACACCAAATAGCTTTTGAGCGGTTATGATTTGAAAAGAACAAGAACCATAAAACAAGCAAACCGACACAAAAGAAGAACAAGAAAGTAAACAATAACAAATTCCCGCCAACCCGTTTGTCGAAAATCCGTGTTATGGCGGGGAACTAATACCATGCAAGGGATAACCAATCCCCTCAGTTTCCCCTTTTATTGTGCTGCGTCGTCATCATACCATTAGTTAATGATTCACCCAAATAATGTGGTCTCTCTGAAGGTTTCCTCAATATTTCCTTTGTTTTGGAGGCGCAATGTGCCCCATTGTTTACCAGCTCGAGTTCTTTTCGACGTGTGTGTGTCGACATTCGACCAGATGTTGCCACCGATTAGGTGGACCCAGATTTCGATTATACCAAACGTGTCTATTGCGACCAGTTGTCATGATTAGTGGACCCAGATTCGATTGCGCAAAATTTGTCTAGTGTGTTTTCGACAAGTTGTCCACGATTAGTGGACCCCAGATTCGATTATTGTGGATGTGGTTTGCAATGTGTTATCTTTCCATGTTGTGAGAATGAACGTGACGGCGATCATAGACGCTAATGTCCCCCTCGATTGTCATTATTGTGTGTGTTTATTCATGGCGCTACGATCTCGGCAGACAGAGGGATGTGTCTTCGGAGGTCTTCTAGAGGCAAGGGTCGGAAACATGAGGAGGGGGGGCCCCCTTGGACACGGCCTTTCCCGCCCACTAACCTTACTGCAGGAGTAGGTTAGTGGATAGAAGCCCTACGTCGCCTTCCGCCCTGCAGCCTTCTTGACGCCGCGAGGCCACATGTGTGGTGTGTGTGGTGTGGTGTGTTGTCGTCCAAATGGTCGGAACTGCTTAGAAGTTGTTGTTGTTGCCTCCTCCGCCGAACATGTAATATATATCACATACCTATGATCGGGAACTTGGTTTTACAGCTTGATGAAACCTTTTTGTTTTTCAGCCATTATAGATAATATGGCCATCTGAGTGTGTGTGGTACTGTTTGTGGTTTGTTTTTAACTTTCAAATACAGCTAATTATTCAAAATGTTAGAGTTCCTTATTTGTATACTGAAACTTGCACTTCTGTTAAAAAATAAATTAAAAAAACCTGGAATAATGCATTTGGGACTTTTTTTAACTTTTTCTTCTTGTACCGAACCCGTACCGAACCGTGACCCCCCAACCAAGGTACTACCGAATCGTGAATTATGTGAACTGTTACACCCCTATTGTATGTGATAGGTTAAGTGGCGGGACAACTCTAAGCGAACCAACCAATCAACAGTCAGGCAGGCAGGCAATTTGTGAAAATTAAAGCACTTTTTGAACATTAAAACATGTGAACATGTCCTCAAAATACAAATATAAACCTAAAAATGACCATAATAGGGCCCCTTTAATGAATCAAATCAAATCAAAGTTTATTTATAAAGCACATTTAAAAGCGATTTTTGTCGGACCAAAGTGCTGTACATGTAATAAATACTACAATCACATAAAAACACATTATTACAATCACAATAAAAGACAATAAATTACAACAGATATATAAAAAACACAGGGAAAAGTCAGGAGTCGTGCTCCGCTCTGACTAGAAGGCCAGGGCGAAAATAGAAATATAGGAGAACGAGTCATAATAGTTATTAAAACGAATTATAAGTAACCTGTTCCATAAAA